AACCAAACTGATCCAATACCAACGCCTGTTGTTGTGCCAGAACCAAACTGATCCAATACCAAAGCCTGTTGTTGTGCCAGAAGCAGAAACAGTAGTTTAAATCACATAAGAGAGTCCGTTTTTTAATTCTGCCAATCCCTCTGACTGAAGTGTTAACGATGTAGCAGGTTAGTGGAGAATATCTCATCACCAGATACACCACATATCAGATAGCTATCACATAACTCCTAGGATGACTGAAATGTGTCTTCACTGTCTTGACAACATTTAGCTATTGCATGAATACTGGCTACAGCAAATGGAGGATGGTGATCGAAAAGTGAACATGCTTTCTTCTTCCAGGAAGCTGTGTGTGTGTGTTGCGATCAGTATTCCATTTGGTAATTTTTTTAGGACTATATCTTCTGCAAAAGATAAGACTTTCCTGTGGCTTAAAATCCATTCAGTCAGAATTCATTACAACAATACCATGATCATATCCTCAGCCATCTCTATCAATGGGTGACGCACCAATACACTCACTTTTGTAGCAGCAAGATACTTGCGATTGGAAGATGTCAGAACTGCTCACCAGCTCATTTCTTTCCTCTGACAGGAGGGCATTGCGGTCCTCCAGTTTGCGGATGATGGCACTCAGCTCGGCGATCTTCAGTTGGAAGCGCCGAGCGTCCTTCTCATCCAACTGCTGTTCCTGAAACACACACCAACTGCAGATAACTGGGAATAACCTCAAAACCATCCCCAGACTCCTATAGGCTATATTATCACAGTATATTAGGCCAGCACACCCACCGAGCCCCAGTTATCTAAAGAACTATGAACTTCACTGTAAACACTCCGTGTGGAAACTTCAGTTAATGCAGTGAAAAATACACCTGGACACTTCTGGGTTCCTTTTTAAACATGGATTTTCTAAATAATAGTGTAATAAAGTGGGCAGTGGGGCAACATTCATTCTTACACGGAACAAATAATAAAACTGAAAAAAAGCCATCCATCCATTTTCTGCCATCCATCCAAAATGAAAGCACTATTCTAAAAGGCGACTGTAGCTTTCTCTGGTGTTCGTTACAGCTCAACCTAGCTTGCTACTCATCAGGATTGGGGTCCATTTGAATTGAAGGCAGTCAATTCAGGAAGTGATTTGAATTTTTAAAAAATGTTTAAATAAAATATCCTCTCCTATTCAGTTTATTGAGAAGTCATTGAAAATAGATGCCCTTTTTTTTTCAATTATTGAATTGGAACGTTAATTTACTTCCTGAATTGACTTGACTTCAATTGGAATTGACCCCCGATTATGCCGATAATAATAATAATGAGGCGCCTGTTGAAATAACAGGTGTCTACTCTGTAAGCATGAGTAGGTGAGCGTAAGGGAGTGTGAATATTCGTGACGGTGTGAAGGTGTGCAAGTGATGTGCTTTATAGAGTGAGGACGTCACATGCCATGGACTGGTGCACAGCAGGCAGGCTTGGATTGGTGCTGAAAGAACAGCTAGCACATCTTGTGCTTGAAAAACAATTACAAAATAATACATTTAGTTCTTCAACAGGGAATGGTGACGTGTGTCAATTGGATTACAAGGAATTTGCTGTCAAATTTTTAATCAACAATTGAAATGATGTACAGTCTTTTGTATCCACTATGTTGAAAATTCAGAGATTCATATACATATTTATGAGCTGAAAATGAGAAAATATTAAAATAAATAGCGGAAGACGAAAGAACGAGATCTTGAGAAAACCTTCAATGAACATCTCAAGAATTCCTTAAATCAGTGGTGCAGGAGACATCTTTCAACAACAGAGAACATCCTAGCTGCAGATGAGCCAATATAACATGTAGATAGAAACTCATGTCGTTTTGTAGCTTAATGCTAAGGTTACATAGGACACAAAGAAGCATTGAGGAAAAAGAAAGAAGCCAACCAATACTAGTGAATCAACAGAAAGAAAGCAAAACACATAACAGCAAAACACATGCAGTCATTATTGTATTAAATACAGTCATTATTAAATGCAGTCATTATTAAGTGCAGTCATTATCATATTAAATGCAGTCATTATTATTTTAAATGCAGTCATTATTAAATGCAGTCATTATCATATTAAATGCAGTCATTATTAAATGCAGTCATTATTAAATGCAGTCATTATTAAATGCAGTCATTATTAAATGCAGTAATTATCATATTAAATGCAGTCATTATTATTTTAAATGCAGTCATTATTAAATGCAGTCATTATTAAATGCAGTCATTATTAAATGCAGTCATTATTAAATGCAGTCATTATCATATTAAATACCAATAAAGTATAGAGAATCTGCATGCTAAGAAAGCTACTGTGTGTTCCCATGGCAACATGTAGAGGGAAAACAACCCAGTTTTAATGCCAAAAGACCCACTGCAGAAAGAATATAATAATAATAATAATAATAATAATAATAATAATAATAATGTATGTTAATAACAGAACACAAGCTGTCAGCTTTACTGTAATATACTGTATGTTAATAACAGAACATAAGCAGGAAGCTTCATTGTATTATACTGTATATATCCGTATTTGGCACAATTGAGTCCAAAACTGGGCTCTGGACAAAGAAAGTGCCATTTTGGAACGAGATAATGACATTCAGGCAAGAGGAGACCTCTACATAAATGGTTCTCAGGTGTGAGGAGAACCCACTAGTAGAGATAGGGAAGAAGGTTGAGACTGAGGTTCTCAGCCCTCCAAAGCTACAGTTAGTCTTCAGAAGAAGATAAGGGGGACTGGTGCTGGGTGGAGGAATAGACAGTAAAGGAAGGTGAGAGGGACTGGTGCTGGGTGGAGGAATAGACAGTAAAGGAAGGTGAGGGGGACTGGTGCTGGGTGGAGGAATAGACAGTAAGAAGGTGAGGACTGGTGCGGTGGAGGAATAGACAGTAAGGAAGGTGAGGGGGACTGGTGCTGGGTGGAGGAATAGACAGTAAAGGAAGGTGAGAGGGACTGGTGCTGGGTGGAGGAATAGACAGTAAAGGAAGGTGAGGGGGACTGGTGCTGGGTGGAGGAATAGACAGTACAGGAAGGTGAGAGGGACTGGTGCTGGGTGGAGGAATAGACAGTAAAGGAAGGTGAGAGGGACTGGTGCTGGGTGGAGGAATAGACAGTAAAGGAAGGTGAGAGGGACTGGTGCTGGGTGGAGGAATAGACAGTAAAGGAAGGTGAGGGGGACTGGTGCTGGGTGGAGGAATAGACAGTAAAGGAAGGTGGAGGGGTACTGGTGCTGGGTGTGAGGAATAGACAGTAAGGAAGTGAGAGGGCTGGTGCTGGGTGGAGGAATAGACAGTAAAGGAAGGTGAGGGGACTGGTGCTGGGTGGAGGAAATAGACAGTAAAGGAAGGTGAGGGGGACTGGTGCTGGGTGGAGGAATAGACAGTACAGGAAGGTGAGAGGGTCTGGTGCTGGGTGGAGGAATAGACAGTACAGGAAGTGAGAGGGGCTGGTGCTGGGTGGAGGAATAACGTAAGGAAGTGGAGAGGGACTGTGCTGGTGGAGGATAACGTAAGAAGGTGAGAGGCTGTGTGCTGGGTGGAGGAATAGACAGTACAGGAAGGTGAGGGGGTCTGGTGCTGGGTGGGGAATAGACAGTAAAGGAAGGTGAGAGGGACTGGTGCTGGGTGGAGGAATAGACAGTACAGGAAGGTGAGAGGGTCTGGTTGGGTGGAGGAATAGAGAAAAACTAGGCTCAGCCAGGGCAGGACTCTAGACTCCATCTAAGCATTTAGAAGCAGCTAAAGGTGGTGATCAAAAACATTCACTAAGAAAGCAAAAATAAATACTTGCAAAGAGGCAACAAAAGGGCATGCCTTTGAGAAGGTACAGGCTCTAGCTAGCCTACATTTATAAGCCACTAAGCAGCAATGAGAGGGCAGATGGAGGGAGAGAGATTGCTTACGAGGCTCTCTGAGGTGTCTCCTGCACCACTGGGGTAAGGAGTGTCTGGTTTGGGGCTGTGGAGGTGTCCTCCTGCCCCAGCCTCCCTGCTCCTGATCTGGGATAGCTGCAGCTGGAGCCTCTGGGTGTGTCCAGCCTGAACCCCCAGCTCCTTCCCCAGCACACAGCAAGCTCTGTCTTTTACCTTAATCTCATCCATCTACAGAGCAGAGCAGAACAGAGGAGAGGAGAGGAGAGCAGAGGAGAACAGAGGAGAGGCGAACAGAGGAGAGGAGAACAGAGGAGAGGAGAACAGAGGAGAGGAGAACAGAGGAGAGGAGAACAGAAGAGAGGAGAACAGAGCAGATGAGAACAGAGCAGAGGAGAACAGAGCAGAGGAGAACAGAGCAGAGGAGAACAGAGCAGAGGAGAACAGAGGAGAGAAGAACAGAGCAGAGGAGAACAGAGGAGAGAAGAACAGAGCAGAGGAGAACAGAGCAGAGGAGAACAGAGGAGAGGAGAACAGAGCAGAGGAGAACAGAGGAGAGGAGAACAGAGCAGAGGAGAACAGAGCAGGGGAGAACAGATGAGAGGAGAACAGAGGAGAGGAGAACAGAGCAGAGGAGAACAGAGCAGAGGAGAACAGAGGAGAACAGAGGAGAGGAGAACAGAGGAGGGGAGAACAGGGGAGAACAGAGGAGAGGAGAACAGAGGAGAGGAGAACAGAGGTAGAGGAGAACAGAGGAGAACAGAGGAGAGGAGAACAGAGGAGAGGAGAACAGGGGAGAGGAGAACAGAGGAGAGGAGAACCGAGCAGAGGAGAACAGAGGAGAACAGAGGAGAGGAGAACAGGGGAGAGGAGAACAGGGGAGAACAGAGGAGAAGAGAACAGATGAGAGGAGAACAGAGGAGAGGAGAACAGAGAGAGTGTAGAACAGAGGAGAGGAGAACAGAGGAGAGGAGAACAGAGGAGATGAGAACAGAGGAGAGGAGAACAGGGGAGAGGAGAACAGAGGAGGGGAGAACAGAGGAGAGGAGAACAGAGGAGAGCAGAGGAGGGGGAAGGAGAAACAGAGGGAGAGGAGAACAGGGAGGGGAGAACAGGAAGAGCAAGGAGAAGAGGAGAACAGGAGAACAGAGGAGAGGAGAACAGATGAGAACAGAGGGAGGGGAAAAGGGGAGAACAGAGGAGAACAGAGGAGAGGAGAACAGAGGATAGGAGAACAGAGGAGAGGAGAACAGAGAAGTGTAGAACAGAGGAGAACAGAGAAGTGTAGAACAGAGGAGAGGAGAACAGAGGAGATGAGAGGAGAACAGAGGAGAACAGAGGAGAGGAGAACAGAGGAGAGGAGAACAGCGAAGTGTAGAACAGAGGAGAGGAGAACAGAGGAGAACAGAGGAGAGGAGAACAGAGGAGAGGCGAACAGAGAGAGTGTAGAACAGAGGAGAGGAGAACAGAAGAGAGGAGCATAGAGGAGCACAGAGGAGAACAGAGGAGGGGAGAACAGAGGAGAGGAGCACAGAGGAGAGGAGAACAGAGGAGAGGAGAACAGAGGAGAGGATCACAGAGGAGAGGAGAACAGAGGAGGGGAGAACAGAGGAGAACAGAGGAGAGGAGAACAGAGGGGAGGAGAACAGAGGAGAACAGAGGAGAACAGAGGAGAACAGAGGAGAGGAGAACAGATGAGAGGAGAACAGAGGAGAGGATAACAGAGAAGTGTAGAACAGAGGAGAGGAGAACAGAGGAGAAATTAGGAGAGGAGCACAGAGGAGAGGAGCACAGAGGAGAGGAGCACAGAGGAGAGGAGAACAGAGGAGAACAGAGGAGGGGAGAACAGAGGAGAGGAGAGCAGAGGAGAACAGAGGAGAGGAGAACAGAGGAGAACAGAGGAGAACAGAGGAGAGGAGAACAGAGGAGAGGAGCACAGAGGAGAGGAGAACAGAGGAGAACAGAGGAGCACAGAGGAGAGGAGCACAGAGGAGATCAGAGGAGAACAGATAAGAACAGAGGAGGTGAGAACAGAGGAGAAAAGATCAGAGGAGAACAGATAAGAACAGAGGAGGTGAGAACAGAGGAGAACAAGAACAGAGGAGCGGAGAACAGAGGAGGAGAACAGAGCAGCGGAGAACAGAGGAGAAAAGAGCATTGCAGAGGAGAGGAGAACAGAGGAGAGGAGCTCAGTCGAGCATGAGCGTGTACGCACACGAGCACACACAAAAAGTCACACACACACACAGACACAGAGCCGCATCATGCACACGTAGGCTACTGTTCTGTTCGGCCGTCACCATGACAAAAGGTTGGCAAGACCAGCCACAAGCCCCGCCCTGTTTGATTGGCCATTCAGAGAACAGGAGCTTCCTTCGTGCATCCTGTAGCTACTAAACATTAGTATCATAATAAGAACCCACAGATGTACTGTTTCTTTCCTATAATCAATGCTTCATTCATTTTACAGATCCCACTTGTATTGCCTGGCAGCAACCACAGTCTAGGGTCACATTCAACAAGATCACAACAAATCAATCTCGGTGAAATTACCTGATATACTCCTGCTAATGTCCCGGAGAAAGCACACATGCCCCAGCTCTTCCGGATATCTGCAATTCTGCATGCTACTGTTTAGAACAGGGTTCTTCAATTCCGGTCCTGGAGGGCCGAAACACCTCTGTTTTTCATCCTCTCCTTCTAATCAGGGGCTAATTCAGACCTGGGACACCAGGTGAGTGCAATTAACTACCAGGTAGTAATAAAAAACAGAAGTGTTTCGGCCCTCCAGGACCGGAATTGAAGAACCCTGGTTTAGAACATTCACAACAGTCCCAACCCAGCTAGCACATTTGGTTTCTTGTAAGTTGTGGGAACGTATGTTTTTGCTTTCACATAGGGCTTGTAAGTAAGCATTTCACTGTTGTATTCGGTGCATGTGACATTTTATTTTATTTTATTTTATTTGTGGGATTGAAGCCATACATTTCCTGACCAGTAAAATAGAACGATTTTTGAACGTTCTGAGAACAGAAGTGAAAATGTATCCTGTTCTGGGAAGGTTGTAGGGAGGTTCTGAGAATGTTTTACTCTGGTTCCTTGAAAGTTTTCCTGGGAGATTTTTTTCTGAGAACGGAAATTATAGGTTATTTGGAGATTTTTGAATAACGTCCTTAAAACTTTCACTGAATGTTTCAATAGGACTTTAAATAACACTGCTAGCTTATTTTTTGAAGTCCAAGCACAGATAGGACCACATGGAAATGTATTTCCTTAGGCATTAATCACGCGAAATCCTTTTTTATTTTTTATTGTGTCATGGCATCAGTGAGTTTCGAACCTATAATCTTCAGTTTTCTAGCCATGAAATTAGTCCACTGCGCCACCAGGATGGAGCTAGCATGCCATGTTGATTTTATGCATACAAAGCTGTTCATTTTTGTCTATTCAAACAGACACCATTTCAAAGGAAACAAGAACTCATTAAAATCAGGTGTGGCCAATTAGTGGGCGTGACCAAATCACCTGAACACACAAGATAGAGAGTTTTGTTGATGCTGAGAATGGAATGTATATGTTTTTACATGACATTCTTGGAACGTTCTCTGAACGTTACTAACGTTTTCTTGTGGTTTTTATGGAAAGTTTTCTTAACTTTCTCTGAAACAATTTGAGAACTGAACCATTAGGAAACCTGTGGGAAAAATTATGCTGAGGTACTGAAGAACGTTGTTTCTTAATGTTCTTGGAACAATTTGAGAACATGACTTTAAGTGCTAGCTGGGGAAGCCCCAGCAAACAGTATATCAGTAGTGACTGGACTGTACTGGAAGAAAATATCTTAGGAGGAAATTACAGCAATACTTACAGCACCGTGGAAATGCTTCTCCCATTTAGGTACCAGAGACAAGAGTGAGAACAATCAAGGTAATAACAGCTCTACATTCCTGACATCTTCCAGATTGGATCTTCTGCAGGTAACCTGGATGACTGGTCCTTTCAGAGTCTGAAGAAAGCAGCCCTGCACTCATCTCTCTCAGCTGTCCAACAGTCACACACAGAGCCAAGTCCCACAGTCACACAGAGACCAGTCCCACAGTCACACACAGAGCCCGGTCACACACAGAGTCCCACAGTTACACACAGAGACCAGTCACACAGTCACACACAGAGCCCGGTCACACACAGAGACCAGTCACACAGTCACAAACAGAGCCCGGTCACACACAGAGACCAGTCACACAGTCACACACAGAGACCAGTCACACAGTCACAAACAGAGACCAGTCCCACAGTCACACACAGAGCCCGGTCACACACAGAGACCAGTCACACAGTCACACACAGAGACCAGTCCCACAGTCACACACAGAGACCAGTCACACAGTCACAAACAGAGACCAGTCCCACAGTCACACACAGAGCCCGGTCACACACAGAGACCAGTCACACAGTCACACACAGAGACCAGTCCCACAGTCACACACAGAGACCAGTCCCACAGTCACACACAGAGACCAGTCCCACAGTCACACACAGAGACCAATCACACAGTCACACACAGAGACCAGTCCCACAGTCACACACAGAGACCAGTCCCACAGTCACACACAGAGACCAGTCCCACAGTCACACACAGAGCCCAGTCCCACAGTCACACACAGAGCCCGGTCACACACAGAGACCAGTCACACAGTCACACACAGAGACCAGTCCCACAGTCACACACAGAGACCAGTCCCACAGTCAAACACAGAGACCAGTCCCACAGTCACACACAGAGCCCGGTCACACAGAGACCAGTCACACAGTCACACACAGAGACCAGTCCCACAGCCACACACAGAGACCAGTCCCACAGTCACACACAGAGACCAGTCCCACAGTCACACACAGAGACCAATCACACAGTCACACACAGAGCCCAGTCCCACAGTCACACACAGAGACCAGTCCCACAGTCACACACAGAGACCAATCACACAGTCACACACAGAGCCCAGTCCCACAGTCACACACAGAGACCAGTCCCACAGTCACACACAGAGACCAGTCCCACAGTCACACACAGAGACCAGTCCCACAGTCACACACAGAGACCAGTCCCACAGTCACACACAGAGACCAATCACACAGTCACACACAGAGACCAGTCCCACACAGAGACCAATCACACAGTCACACACAGAGCCCAGTCCCACAGTCACACACAGAGACCAGTCCCACAGTCA